CGATTATAATTGAAACAAAAATAAACAATTATATCCACACTTAACATTAGTGAAATCTACTTACAAGGAACTAGTGTAATCGTCAAGGATAAAGATGGACCAATAACAATATCAGCTGTCTACTGTCCTCCAAACAAAACAATTACAAAAGAAAATTGGATAAACTTTTTCAACACATAAGAAAATCGCTTTGTAGCAGGAGACGATTATAATGCCAAGCATCCGTCGTGAGGTTCAAGGTAACCATTTTCAACATATAGAGTACTATGTGAAATACTATATGAAATACTACAAATAAACAACTATATTCCAATATCTACTACAGAACCAATATACTGGCCAACAGACTTAAATAAGCTTCCGGTTTTGATTGACTTTGCAATAGTAAAAGTCATAAATAAAAATTATTTTGAATTGTCATCATGTTTATACGTAACTTCAGATCATTAATTCACGAATATTAATTACTACAACCTTTCAGGTAACTAATACCGTAAAACAACCACACTAAAGTCAACTGGAAAAAAATATACTCGCTTCATCGAGAAAGGCATATCATGTAATGTTCTTCTTAAATCAGCCATAACATAGAAAGCATTATCGATTCATTCAACTTAATTCTAACTAAAGCTATTCACAAATGTTCTACTAATATAGGTAACAATACAACACAGTATACCAATTCCAATGTAATAGTCCAAAAATCCAAGAAAAGAGATCACTAAGAAAACCAGATTCTATTCAAAATAAGACAAAAGTAAACAAAGTATCCAAAGAACTGAAGAAGATCTTACATGAAGAAAAAACCATAAAAATACAGGAATATCTCAAAACTCTGAGTTCGACAGAAGCAACAGATTATTCACTATGAAAAGCTACCAAACGGATCAAAAGACCAGTTACATTTATGCCACCTATCAGAAGGCCTTAAAGAAAATGGGAAAAATACGAGAAGGAAAAAGCTGAAACGTTCTCAGACCATCTTTGTACAGTATTCATATCTCACCAAAGATTAATCATTACATAAGAACAAACCCATAATAGCAATTAGGTTCATAACAATTATTTTTAATGTATACTTGCGTCTGCGCTATTTTCTCATACAGTAGAAAATAGCAGAGATTATCTTGATTCCTAAACCTAGTAAAGAATTGTAACTTTATATAGACCGATTAGCCTATTACCAATATTTTCCAAAGTCTTTGAAAAATTAATCCTAGCAAAAATTAACCTAATAATAGTAAAAACAAAACTTATCCCAGATCATCAATTCAGGTTCAAGTATAATCATACCACTATAGAACAAGTAAACAGAATATTATCCGTTGCAAAAAATGGTATTGAAAAGAAACAGTATTGCACTGGCATATTTCTTGATGTTGTCCAGTCTTTTGATAAAGTTTGGTATAAAGGTCCACTGTATAAGCTCAAGAATTTATTTTCCTAAGAAATACTACGAACCAACAATTGCATCAGAAACATTACAGAAATACACAAATAACCATCTTCAAAAATGATAAAATTCCTGGAAAATATTACTAAATAAAAGTAAATCAATACATATAAGGTTTCCACTTCGAAAAGATACACTGCCGGTCACCTACTTTAGGCTCCCCGCCACAAAATCAATCAAAACATTAAAGTTCAATGTCTCTAGTAAAAATTAACGTACAGAATCGTCCGTAGGCGTGTTTGAAAGGTATTTCCAATAGCTTTCAAATATCATTACTTGTGGATGCCATAGGTTGTTTTTTAATTTTTTGCAAGCAATAATTCAACATTGAAAATTCGGAAAATTTTTTGCTAACTTTGGAAATTTGCCAATTCTGGGAAAAATCATACAAAAATTTGGGTCACAGCATTTTTTAGTTTTTATCAACCTCTATCTGGATCACTGGTCATAAAATTATTTCCGTCAAAACCGACGCGCGCACGAGCATTTTTTTCGGGAAGTGACAGTTTTTTTAAGCATGTTTTATCTTCGTAAATTCTAAAAATTTAGGTAAATATATAGGAGAAAAAAAGTTTGTTTTTGCAAGTGGAATATTGCACTATTATTTCTTGATTTATTAGATTAAAAAAACTTTTTTCATAGCTGTTACACCAAAAAGATGAAAAACTACATCGACTTGTTTTTTTTCACTCAATCAATATTATTCCATAATAAATATCATGAATTTTTCAAAAAAAGAGAAAAATTTTCAATGATCAATAAAAAGAGAAAATTCATTTTTTTGTCATTTTGTTATTATTCCATAATAAATATCATAAATTTTTCAAAAAAATGAATTTTCTCTTTTTATTGATCATTGAAAATTTTTCTCTTTTTTTGAAAAATTCATGATATTTATTATGGAATAATATTGAATAAGTGAAAAAAAATTTGATGTAGTTTTACATCTTTTTGGCGTACCAGCTGTGAAAAAAATAGTACAGAGCTTGCGCATTCATTCCTAGAGCAACGTTGCTCAGGACTGTCGATCATTTCTAAAGGTGATGACGCCTGCACCTAGAAGCCAACAGAGGTAATTTTGAACACCTACTCCGTGCATAGATAATGTCAACTGCAGTAATAATAGTGAGTGGCAAGTGGACTCACGTTAAACAAGCACTTCAGTCAGAGGCAAGTGGTCTCACGTTAAACAAGCACCCGAAAAGAAATTGACCTTACTACATCCACGTTGTTGTTTCCGGGTAACGCTAAAAGTAGAAATCCAGTATTATCAGAAAGAGCTTAAAGCCAATAAAGCAACACCGCCAGAACTTCTGCAGATAAGTGACCGTAAAAACTTCCAGGATAGTATTTTTAGCGATTATCATAGAAATAGCAAAATTGAGTTTACTTATAGCGATTCAGTCTCCATGTCGTACCATCGTGTCGTATTTCATAGAGACCTGTTGAAAACGCAATATTTCTACCAGCTTGCGCTCCAAGCTCTAAATATCCCATCATAAATTACGCAGCAAAATTTCAAGTCGCCGTAGTTTTGAAAAAGAATTTGAGGCCCGCGCGGGCAATAAAGCCGTTGGGGAAAACCCAAAAATAAACCAGCAAATGGCACGACAGCAGCAATACTGACCGGTAGTTAAAAAAAAAAAGGGTTTAGGGCCCTTTACCCGGCAAATAGTGCAGCAGGGAACACGTGGTCAGCAGATGCGCTGCATACACCTCATTTTTTATTTATTTATTTATTTTTTTTTTTAATCCGAAGCCTGCGACGGAATACGCGTAAAAGCAAAAAGCGTCAATATCGTAAATGCGGAGCTGTTCTCGAACGTCTTCTTTTCAATAGTTTTTAAGACCATTGTAACAGCGGGATTTATGATCATCGTGTGCGTATGTCTGTTTCTGGAATAGGTGTAAGTTGTAATAGAACAAATTTGTATTCATGTTATACTGTATATGAAATGTCCATGTGGTAATAAGAATGAAATGCGTGCATAGATAATATGTAATCTACATATAAGATAGTCAAAGGGGTGAAAAGAATAATCAACTTGCTTGTTTGCGACTACTTCGTCGTTGGCTGTCTCTCGATTTAAATTTGCATATTTTTCCTCTTGTTTTATACGTCACATAACAAAGCTTCGATCTCTCTCGCGCGTTAACGTTGCGCGACATGAATGTGCACGAGCGCCTTGAATGCGGCGTAGCGTGGCCTTGAAGGCCAATTTTATCAGCATCGGCGAGCATAGGAGCTCCCCGAGTGTTGTCAGACCTCGCGAGGGAACATTGTTCCCGGGTATTGAAGGTCACCCAAACATACGGCACGGAAGGCTGTCAGGCCGACCGTGGGTCTATCAGGCAAGCGAACGGAAAAGCGAGCGAGAGAGAGAGAGAGAGTAGAAGTAGCCCTTTGAGGCAATTAAAAGAGAGACAGCGAACGAGAGTATAGCAGCGTAGGCGGAGCGAAGGGATGCGCGCGGCAGCGGGGCCTAAAGAGAGGGCTAGAGCTGTCGAAAACTGTAGCGGACGTCCGGAAAAGGGGGCGAGCGGGCCCCACGCGAAGAAAACACTAGTCAGTTTTGGCACTCATCGTTCAGCCGGCAAACAAGCAAGTTGTCCTTGTTCGTAAAGCTCAGCATATCTTCGAACATCTTGTTCTTGCGTTGAGTTGGCTTAAGCAACAAATATTAAACTTTGTTATATTTCAATAAAACTTCACAGTGTAAAGTTATTGGCTCAAATCCCACATCCAACAGAGACCCAACATAAAATTCATAATTCGAAAATATCTTAATTGAATGGTTGGGCTTATCAAGGCTTGTTCTACTTCAGACTACTGTTACATTTCGCGTTCAGATCATTTTTCAAGCATTTGACCTTGATTAAACTATGGAAGGAAGAAAAAAAAATATTTGAAGAACGGTTTACGACGTATAATTTTCCCGTTCTATCCTATGGCGACGTCAAAATAAGGATTACCGTTTAAAAAATGATCTTAATCTTGAAATGACCTTAAAAAAATACGATAAGCTCAAATTGAAGGTAACCAAACGTTGACCTCTATGGGCACGAACAATTTTCCGTTAAACCATTTTTTGGCATCTGGCTTGCATTCAGAGATATTTTGCTGCATAGATTAAAATAAGACATCGTATATATACTGGTACAATAATTGCAACAAATGTCTCATTATTTTCAATTTTAAGCCTCATTTGATTGTTTGCTTGTTATTAACATCAACCCAGTTCTCATTGACAGTGAAAAACGGTTTGACTCGTATCTTGGTTTGGAGTTAACTAAATAAATAACAAGTTATTTAAGCAATCGTTAAAAAATAATTTTGTCGCTTTTATCAAAATCCATATCAATAAAAACTTATTTACATCTTTTTTATCTACAAAATTTTAACTGCATGCGAGAATTAAAGTTTTACCTTGGCTTTATAGCATTTAAAAATATTAGTAAATTTGAAAATTTTATGTAGAATGTCAACATATGTCCTCCAATTATTGTTCATATAAAATTAAATTATCTTAACGGAGAAAATTCCTACCCTAAATTGTCCTTTTCCGTTGATTAGCACTGTTTCAGGATCTTGCCCAGTGTTTACTGCTAATCTTCCTGGAAATCTTTCAGCTGCATCTTCGTGCATCCAATCACTTATAAGGACGACATGCGTTGTTAAGTCATAATCATAAAGATTACTATTGGGATCTTTACTCGGTGGTTGCCGTACGACAATACTGCCATAAAGACCATCCATCTTTTGCAATCCAGTATGCGCATGCCAAAAGTGTGTTCCGGAATTTCCAGCTATCCATTGATATCTGTAAGAATTTATTAATTTAATTGATATTGATTGAATTTATTATATTAATTGAAATATAAAACAATAATTTTTGTTTCTTGATCTTTATTCGGTCCTTTTGTTATAAGAATAGTGATAATAAATATCCAATTACATTCAAATATTATAGCTTAAATTTGTTTCATTCATTAACCGAATATCGCCAATGGATTCGAGAGGCACGAACGTTCCATGTTTATCTCTTCAATCCCCCATGTCACCAATCATAAAATAGACAATACCAAATTTTTATTCTAATTTTGTACAATTGTATAAAACCAAAATAAAATTTTGTATTAGTCACGTTTTAAAGTTAGTAACAATCATTGGAGGGGGGGCTATGACGAATCAAAAAACGAACAACGCTATCTTATTCTACGAATTTTGTATATTTTGTAACGATAGTAAAAATTTAATATACATCAATATCGTTAGTTACTTTTGACATGATTTTGAAAACGACATCGGAATAAGAAAATTTGTTTAGTCAATACTAAACAAATAAAACACAACTAATTTGTTTGACGATATATTTCAATTAACATTGTTAATCATTACGCTGAGCAATGATTTTTCTTACGTATGATTTGATGTTTAGAATCACGCTAAAAATTGTGGAGTGATTTATTTTATAAGAAAATTCATTTTTCAAAGCTAATTAACCTGTGGTTTTGGGCTAATATCACAGCTCCACAAAAAAATAGTTGTCAGACCCACAAATATGACCATGGTACTTATATGTGTTTGGGGTTGCTGAATTTGAAGCCGAGGTCAATTTGGCCCCATCAGATTATTTTCAAGATCAGTCGAAGTTGAAATCATCAAAATTTACAAAAAGTTAACGAAAAGTACGGTCTCTTGGGTTTATGTTTCTGACTCCAAATCCGGGGTTATTACAACCCTATCAGATTATGGTCAAGATCAGTTAAAGGTTAAATCATCAAAATTTATAAAAAATTAAATAAAAATATGTTATCTTAGACTTTTTTGGTCACCAATTCCAAATTAAGCATCAGTATTATCCTATAAGTTTATATTTAAGGTCAATTCAGAGTCAGTTCAAGATTATGAATATAAAACTATATCATACATCGCTGCATTGGAATTTTTTATCTATATGATTCATTTTCGTAACAAAAATTTCATCAGTTACCATCTTCGAAATTTGATGGCCATCGAAATTCCTTTATTTACTTTATCATCACTTAATTTCAGAAACTAATTTCACGGATACTTAAAGTAGCTAACATCTTTATTAAGCGATTTCACCCATTACTTCATAAGTCCCAATTTAATGTGTAGAGGTGATATTTGAATTATTGGTGGATCAACAAGTGGCTTTTCTTTTATATTTTTAGAACCCGGTTCGAATGTTTTTCTTTAGGGCCAGACACTCTTTATGTAATGATTCTTTCTCTCCCTGCTATCCTATTCATAAGAATTGTAAAGTTATTTTGTGAATCTCAATTGTTGTTCCAGAAGTATTGTTAGAATTATAAGATCTCCACATGTTTACCATTAATGATCATTGTATTTTATTCGGTTTAATCCTTTGTTGCACATATTTTTCTATTCAGTGATTTTACTTGAAAATTCTTACTCGGGGGGTTTTTGGGGTTGCTGATCTCAAATGTGAAGTCAGATTTTTAAAATTATCAATTTAAGATGGCGGATTCAAGATGATGGTTCCGAAATTTCGAAAAATATAGAAGTACAAGTTTAAAAACCACGACTCAGGGATTTTCAGGGTTGCTGATTACAAATGTGAACTCAGATTTTTTAAATTTTCAATTCAAGATGGTGGGGGCTCTTCTAAAATTTCGAAAAATATAGATGTACAAGCTTACAAATCATTACTGAAGAGTTTTCGCAGTTGGGTTGCTGATTACATTTAATTTTTTCGAAATTTCGGAGCCACAATCTTGAATCTGCCATCTTGAATTGAAAATTCAAAAAATCTGATTGCAGATTTGTGATCAGCGACCCTAGAAACCCTTAAGTCGTGATTTTTAAACTTGTACATCTATATTTTTCAAAATTTCGGAACCGCCATCTTGAATCCGCCATCTTGAATCCGCCATCTTGAATTGAAAATTTCAAAAATCTGACTTCGCATTTGAGATCAGCAATCCTGACAATTCCTGAGGCTAGATGTTTAAAATTGTACATTTATTTTTTCAAAATTTCTGAACCGCCATCTTGAATACGCCATTTTTAATTGAAACTTAAAAAAATCTGACTTCAGATTTGTAATCAGCGACCTCAAAAACTCCTGAGTACAGATTTTCAATTTGTTACACTGGTTATATTATTCAAAAATGAATTTTTTCAAAAAAAATGGCATTTTTTATGTTTGTTTGTTTATATAACAATTATAATAAACAATTATGACAAATAAACCATTTTCTTCTGTTCTTTTACTAATAATTTAGTATGTGAACAAAAAAAACCGAACATTAATAGATTAACAATTCATTAAATAGCGTAAATCTGAAGTTAAGTTGGTGGTAACCCACGTTACCACCGTGCAACAAAGGGTTAATATAACTTCTATGATACAGTACTCTTCATCCAATATTACCGAATATCCGATAGGAATAGCTGCATAAACATTTGTATTGTGTAAAAGAACAGCTTTCCAACTTCTCTTCGACAAATCGATGAACAATCTCCATTCGCTGGAGTTATAACATTCCTGTTTAAAGCGATTCATCAATTCAACTATATCTTTGCTGTAAACTAAGGAAAATTTTTCATCATTAGCGAAATAATCACGATATTCCTTATCTCTGTCTCAGTAGTAGAAAACTTAATTTTTTCCCCCTTCTTCCTTCCCTTCTTGAGTCCTCCACTCTATGCTGTACCCTTTCAGTTGCTTCTCCACACCAGTTCTTGCCCCCTGCCTCTTCACCCAGGTTTCCGTTAGCCCTATTATGTGGAATTCCCTAACATATTCCCAGTCGTCTTCCTCCATGCTCCTCACCCTCGCCATGTTCCAGAATAGTATTTTTACTGCCTTTCTCCCCTCTCACTCCCTTCTCTCCTCTCTCTCTCTTTTATCCCTATTGTTTTCGAAACCCTTCCACCCCCTTTCCTACCATTTTTTCCTCTCTCTCGCTCCACCACCATTCTTCTTCCTCTGATTTCACCCCGTTATGCCACATCTTTACCTCTTTACCTTTACTTCTTATTTCTTTCACTTTCCTTCTTACTTCCTCTCTTATCCTTCTCTGCTTCCACGTCCAGTCCTGATCTATGTATATCTTTTTCTGTGCCAGATTCTTTTACTTCTTCATAATTCCTCCTTTTTGTTCCCATGACGCGCATCTAATTTGCTACATGTTTTTTCTTCTTTCTCTCCGATCATCTCTCTCCACTGTTCCTCCTATTCTTCTCAGATTCACTATCTCTCCTTTCATTTCTAATACCTCCCTTAACCAGACCTCTGCCTCTCCCTTCTTTTCCCATCTTAACTCACCCTCTAAGTCTGTCGCTATTATATTGTTTATCCTACTTTCTCTATCCATTTTTCCTCTCATATGCTCTAATTCTTCCTTATTGCCTACTTCTGTTCCTCTTTGCTTCTTGTTTCCTCCTTCTATGCTTTCTTTTAGTTTCACGCACTCCTCTTCCAACTGGTCCATCCTCTCTCCCCATTTTTCCTGCAGTTTCTTTTCTCTACGTTCTGCTTTTTCCCTTTCTTCTTTCGTCTCTTTCTTTCTTTCTTCTCTCTCTCTCTCTCTTGTTCTTTCCTAACTATTCCTATTTCCTTCTCCGACCTTTCTTCTCTTCTTTTCCCCTCTGCCTCCATTCTTTCCATTTTTCCCATTATTTCTTTAAACATTTCTGTCCATTCTTTCCTTTTCTCCTCCCATACCTCTCTTAATTCCCTTATATCTGTCCGTATCTCTTCCATTATATCTTCTTACTATGTTGTCCAATCCTTCTCTCCCCTCCCCATCCATCTCGCTTCCCTCGCTCTCACTCTAGCATCTCTTTGCCTCTCTCATTTCTCCTCTATTATTCTCCCTCAGCCCCTTCCCGCTCTCTCTCCCCATCACCACCATTACTTTTTTTTTCTTTTTCTTTTCTCCTGTTCTGGGCCTTTCTTATCCACCCTTCGACCTTTATCTCTTAATTTTTCTGTTGTCACAAATCTTTCCATCCTATCCCGTACGCCTTAATTCGACTCTCTATAACTACCCGTGATCCCACCTTTATTCCCTGTCTTACCTTTTCTGTCTCTGCCTTTACTTCTTACCGCCCCTCCTCTCTGCCTGCCTTTCCCGCTTTCTGATTTTCTCTCTTAACCTCAACTTTTATTTTTTTTCTTTATTCCTTTCTCTTTGCTTTTTCCTGCTCTTCTCCAAACCTCTCTCTCTCTCTCTTCTCCACTCCTCCTCCACCTCCACGCTCTTTTCACCTCTATTTCTCTCCTCAAACACTTTTCCTCTTTGACTTTCTCACCAAAACTCGCGCTCACATCCAAGACACGTCCACACTTCCCTCGAGTGAAATCTAACCTTCCTGCTTGCATATATAAATGCTCATTTTATATTATCGATAAATATTTAATATCTATGAATACTATTATCTATGAATTAGAGCGGGGGTTCGACTCGTGGAAGGAAGTGGACGTGTCTTGGCTGTGAGTGCGAGTTGTGGTGAGAAAGTTAGAGAGCAAGAGTGTTTGAGGGGAGAGATAGAGGGAAAGAGGGTGGAGGCGGAAGAGAAGTGGAGTAGAGATAGAGAGAGAGGTTTGGAGAAGAGCAGGAAAATGCAAAGAGAGAGGAATAAAGAAAAAAGAAAAGTTGAGGTTAAGAGAGAAAATCTGGAAGCGGGAAAGGGCAGGCAGAGAGAAGGGGCTGTAATAAGTAAAGGCGGAGACAGAAAAGGTAAGACAGGGAATAAAGGTGGGATCACGCGTAGAATTAGAGAGACGAATTAAGGCGGAAAGGTGAAAAGGTTTGTGACAACAGG